AGACGCTTTACAACATATGGATAATAGCATTGGTTATAATTGTGAAAAACAACAACAAAGGTTTGCAATCACTTTCATACATTTAACAAGCAATGTGCAAATAAGTGAACAAATAAAAGGGTGGTATTTACATGACGTCTTTGCAAAGATTCTAAAATGCAGACGTGAAGAGGTGAGTTTTTATGTCCCTCTTGAACTTGGCCAGGGTATTTGACTTCCTAATAGCAGATGGTAAGCTATTCCACAACGTAGCCGAAACCCTCCCAAAGCATCTGTTTCCGTAGGTCACAGTACGAGATTTTGGGACACACAACAAAGATTCTGACTCCGACCGCAGTGATCTTGACGGCTGATACAGGGTAACAAGTTCCTGTAGGTACTGAGGAGCTGTTCCATTCAGTGCCTTGTATGTGTATGCCAGAATTTTGTACTGCGACCTGTATCGTACAGGTAACAAGTGCAACGAATAAAGCACAGGTGTGATGTGCTCTCTCTTTCGAGTACGAGTAACTAGCCGTCCTGCATTGTTCTGGACCCTCTGCAGACGACTAGTTAGTTTGTCAGATATACCACAGAGCAGGGCGTTACCATAATCCAACCGAGAGGTAACAAGTGACAATTGACAAAAACTGTAATGTTCTATGAAAACAGTTGAACATGGTAGTGAATTTGATTATGTAATAAATATATATTTTCATTTAATTATTTTGTGCACCTCTACACAATGTTTTATTATACTTTTGATAAATGTACATATCGGGTTAAATCTGTAGATTAAATATTTATATATAAATAAATTAATACACAGTTTAGCTGGTGATGACCTGTGCAGTACTTGCACATGGACTTTTGGTCTATCTACCTAACTGTATCGAATGTTAAATAGTAACTCATGTGTACACATGTAATTATGATAATTAATAACTATATTTATGTTTTGTTTGTGTGTCTGTGTCGGTGTGTGTATGTCCTATGTTGTATTGTAAATAGTCAAAAGTGAGTTACCTCCCTTTAATTACTTTATCGTTTACATTTGTCTTTTCATTTCAAAATATCTATAAAATATATTTAGCTATAGTTCTATAATAGAATTGTAATACTCTAGCCACCTATGGAAAGAATTTATATAGGCTTGCCTGTTATTCGATCCATTTGACCATAATACCATGTCAATAAAATCTGTTGAAATGAAAATACCAATTATTTATGGACAATAAATATTTTGTTTTTAACTTTATTTATTGATGCACTTATCAACGGCAGTCTGAACAGTTCAGTTTTAAAAGAAAAACAAGAAATCCAGGGGGCAATGTAAAGGATCAGCCCTATACTTTCAGCAGGCACCATACTGGCCCAAGAGGACTGTCTATTTTTTTGAAAATGACGACGAACGGACAAAGAGCTTCTACCAAAGAAAGGTCACTTTCATGAAAAATGTAACATGTTGACGGGGCATGCGGGATTGAACTAGTTGAAAGTAATACTAACAGTAAGTATTTTCGGAAAAAACAGGACCACAGGTGCTGAGGTGTTTGTGGAGGTAAAGTACCGTGATCTCCAGAGGTTCCAACAGATTTTTATAACGTTTTTAGCAAAAGTGAAACGTGATAAATGCATGTATTTTGCTTAATAAAACAACAATTGTTTTATAAAAGTGTGCATCACCAGTTTGTTTCCGTTGGAATTCATTTCCAGGATTATCAACAATAAGGTGGCAATGATGCCGTTGATGTGCCAGCAGAGGAGCGGCCTAGTGCAAGGGTTTAGTGGGAGTTGTGGACCTCCTTAATCTCCAAAGAAAGTAAAAAAAAAATATAATATAAATTGACTCAGACCAACTCTGTTTTATATGGCGAGGAGACAGCGAGTGAAAAGTGTAGAGTGTGTGGGAGTAAGTTTGGAGAGAACGGCAATGAAAGAGGTGTATGGATAGGATGCGAGAAAGAGGTAAAAGGGAAACAGTGTCCATATTGGGTGCATGCAGAGTGTTTGGGAATTCATGTGAAAAAGTCCAAAGTTACTTTCAAATATCTTTGTCCGGAACATCGAAATTAAAATATTTGTATGTGTGACTGAATTACCCATCGACGCTTGGATCGATCTGGTTACATACACTGTACTGTGGTTTTACATATTTGGATCCTAACATAGTACCGAAATCTTTCAAGAACACTTCCCACAAAAGTTAAAAACTTAAAACATCCTCTCATCATGTTCATTTCCAGATGACCTGAACCCGGCTGAAGTAAAATATTTCCATATTTTATAAGTCTACTGCCTACCACAAATGGTGAGCCATCACACCCGACAAACAGTCCAGGACCGAGTTTGGCATGTTTCATGGATAACGCGGTCAAGCACTTGCTCCACAGCTGCATAAGAGCAGGGATTTACCATTAATGGGTTACCTCTAATCACAGAGTCTGGCCTACTTGCGAATGTAGCACCTAAACAAGAGGCCCATGGGCCTTAACGGTCACCTGACATCCGCTTGAAATTAGGACTGTCATACAGGGGCCACTTCATACGTTTCGTCGGTCCGAGTGACCTTGCTGCATCGTCCATAATTGTATTCCTTGTGAACACAATAACTTCAGCAAATATGAACCGGTTTTGTTGAAATTTGTATGCAGCTTTGTATCAATGAGATCTTGGATGAGTTTGAATACCGGACCATACCTTACATAGTTATTCCCCTTGGTAATTCTATTATTGTTGGACCCTGTAAACACGATAACTGAAATACATGGGTGTGACTCCAATTTTGACCCAAGGGGTCTGTTTTGAACAAACATGGAAACTGTATGTCTTCTGTTTTTGGTTAAAAAAAAACAAGTAAAAGCGTAAATCAATGATTTTATTAAATAAGGCACAACATTTTAATAGCACTTTATTAGTAGCAAAAATGCGTAATGAATGAAAAAAAGGTGTACCACATGAATTTACATCTATTCTTGCGTAATGTCAATCAACATCACAGGGACAAATACTAATAAAATGACAAAGAGCAATAACTTTGCAGGTTACCGTCAAATAATTACCGGACAAAGTTTCATTGAACTCCGTCAAAATTTATTCAAGTTATCGTGTTTACAAGGTCCAATAATGATATTATTACAAAGGGAAATAAGCCATAACTCTGTAAGTTACTGTCAAATAATTCCCATTTCGAACTCAACCGAGATCTTATTGACATATGGCTGCATACAAAGTTTCATCAAACTCGGTTAACATTTACTCAAGTTATCATGTTCACAAGGTCCAATAATAATAATATTACAAAGGGCAATAACTCTGTAAGTTACCGTCGAATAATTCCCATTTTCGAACTCGCTTGAGATCTTATTAATATATGGCTGCATACAAAGTTTCATCAAACTCGGTTTACATTTTCTCAAGTTATTGTGTTCCCAAGGTCCAATAATAATACTATTACAAAGGGCAATAACTCTGTAAGTTACTGTTGAGTAATTCCCATTTAAGATCTCGTCCGGGATCTTATTGATATATGGCTGCATACAAAGTTTCATCAAACTCGGTTAACATTTAGTCAAGTTATCCTGTTCACAAGGAAAAGTTAACGCACGACGGACAAAAGGCTATCACAATAGGTTACCATGACCTATGGTCAGGTAACCTAAAAACAATATGGCTCAGATGATTTGGATGGAATATCAACCTGTGGTTTTTCACCTGATCTTTTCTCAATAAAATCAATATTTTTGGCAACAATGTCATTCTCTAGTTCTAAAATCACACAACGAATTCTTTCTTGTACAAACTGATTACTATATTTTCGAATATTTCATCGCAGTGTTGAGAGGGGACATTAACGCGTTGTGAAATTGTATCTGGAGAAGAGTAATACAACCAGGAAGATGGAGACAGTTCAGGATTTTGTTGTAAATGACTTTCCAAAGCAGACATAAAATAACATAATAACTTAGAAGAAAATGACAACGGCATAACAACATTTAAATTTCGGCGGAAATAGACATTTTCAATAGCCTTAGCAAGTGACAAGGTTTTGCGTCGGTTATCTGTTAGGTTAGAAATACCACACAATTCCTTCAGAAATGTTGCTAAAACTTCATTTGATTCCTCTATCCACTGGCTAGCCTCAAAGGATTTTAAATATTTGTCATCTTTATACTAATTTTGTCGCTCAACACATTCGTCTTTTAATGCTTTTTTTCTGTGATTTTTCCAGAGCAGCTGTAATTCTACAAATGTCGTCACAGCTTAAACCGTTGTCCTCTATCAATTGAACAACTACATCTACATATTATTTATTGTAAAGTTTTCGTTTCGGAAGAGATTCACGATCACAATAGAGCGTTTCCGATGATTGTGCACATGCTGTACAGAGATATGTTACACTGGACGAAAGTAATTCCCTGTCCGATAAAGCAGTTACAACTCTGGCATGAAATTTTTCGAGGACATTTTATAATGTTCAATGGTTTCCCTCATGACGTTTGCATCCACAAACAGGAGCAATGTTTCCAATCTGCGAGTGGAAATATGACAATAATTATATTTATACCGTTTATAAAGTTTTTTTGTGCAGGAAATTATTTGTAAATTTTTGTTCCCAAACTACGTTTGTTTGTTCATTAACTTTGAAGTATTTAATTTCCTGAATGATTATTCAAATGAAGTTCAATTACAACGTTTGATAAAGAAGTTGTCGTTATCTAATAACAAGTATTTAGCTTTATTTATTTTCCCAACAAATTCGTATTTTAGCGTCCTATTTAATAAAAAAAAAACAAGTTTAAAACAAATATTTGTTTTTAAAGTATCAAATAGGTATAATTTCAACATAATACACGTAAATATTGCGGTTATACCAAATAAATTGTAATACATATTGTCGTGTTGTGTGCAAGATGTGGGTACTTGAGGACTACCGTAGAACGTATGTCGGGATGAAGATGGATAACGGAAAATGTCAACGTTAACCGCTTTTCGACTCAAACTTTATTTACAAGCGCAGCATCCGGGTCTTTTAGTAATGGCGGCTACTTGCAGCATGGAGAGTAGCAGAAAGAAACACTAAAGAACACAGGTACTTTTATAGAAAATAATTTATACCACCTCAGCAAAGTCGCCGAAAACGTGCATTTGCAGCATTTTTAAGACATGTAGTTAATCGGACCATGTCAGTACATCGTCCACGTATAAAATTACCTGTCAGATGAAATGCGACAATGTACTTTGGTAAGCACAGGTTTTACGAACGCACGATATACGCCAGGTTAGGTATGCACGGCTACCCTGATTAGGGTATGATAGGCAAGTTTGTGTAATAAACGGAAGTTAGTGGTTTTCCCCAACCTGATAAGCTGTGAGGAGGCTACGGTGGTTTCCTTTCCACTAACTTCCCTAAGCATGTAACTTTTTTGAAGTTGTTTTCGAGGAGAGTTTAGAAACATATTCTCGCCAAGTGTTTCGTCTGGCGTGTCCTCAAGTAGAGGGCACACAAGTAAATCCCCATTTCTGCAGAGGGTTACCACATTAGTCGCCTCTTAGGATACATGCACAGAGGGCAACAGCAGAGGTATTTTTTTTATCTCGATCCCCGATCTGCAGTGGTGATATGTGGGGTAATGGGTCAAAGAAGTAATATCAACGGTAACTTCCCAAAGAAAACTGATCCTTGCAAAGTGAAACGTATGTTTGTAGGTTACAAATTACTTCAAGTTGGTATGGTAAGGAAGTAATTTAAACAGTGTAGACAATATGATGTCAAATTTTCGAAGCAATCCGCTCCTTTTATCTAGACACCAAACAATTTTTAGAAATATAACAGGATATAACCAATATTTAAAACAATCGTTGATAAATCACACGTGTGTGTATGCGCGAACAACGACAAAGAGACATTATATGCTGAAGCTGGAAAATAACGACAATTCGGTTCAAGATGGTATAAGGGATATGGCATGGAATCTCGTAGACAAAAAATGGTATTACAAGTAAATAGCGTGTTGATGTGCTGACTAGGACTCTCGCTGCTAGGCCTACTTGCCAGTGAATTAGACTGACAATTGCTGTCGGCTTCTTTGGACGAAATGTCTGCATCTCGGTGCGTTATTTCGCCAATTACTTAGATAGCTAAATATTGACAAAGCAAATGTTTACTATATATATAGTACTCACATTTTGTTAAGGATCACTTACATTTTGAAAAAAAAATCAAAATGTTAGAAAGGTTATTATATTTTTCTTCCGTACTGTTTAGGCGAATATGGTAGCCTTCCAAATCGTCCTGTGTTGGTGTGTTCAGTCAACCATAAAAGCGCGTGCACGCTTTCTCACATCCCTTTCAAAAGCTAAGCTAGGCTAAGTAAGGCGTTGTTCAAATTGTTAAGGAAATCGATTCGATGAATATGAGATTCTTGGCGTGTTTTAGTATGGCACAAAGAAGAACCAGCCAACAGTGAAATGACGATGAATGAATGCTGCTAGCTAGCATGTCTCAACGTCAGGTTGCAGCAGACCTTGGGGTATCTCGAAGTGTGGTGGCAAGAATGTGGAATCGTTTCCAAACTAACGAAACCCTTCCAGACGTCATGCCGGAGGTCGTTCTAGGGCTACAACCCAGCGCCAATACCGATTCAAATCACCCTGTGTCCATGGTCCGTCGTCCGTCCTTAAACAATTCTTGTTGTCGATATTTCTGAAGAAGTGCCAGAGTGTTTTTTTCTGAAATTTTATATGTAGGTTCCCCTTGGTCCTTAGTTGTGCAGGTTTACTTTCGGGACTGATCGGATAAACAACATGGCCGACAGGCAGTCATCTTGGATTTTGACATTGAAGGTTTGTTATCGCCATTTCTCAGGAAGTACGGGAGATATCCATCTCAAATTATATATGTAAGTTTCCCTTGGTCTGTAGTTGTGCATGTTCAATTTTAGACTGATCGGATGAAGAAAATGGCCAATGTAGGTTCCCCTTGATCCCTCGTTGTGCATGTTATATTTTGAGACTGAACCATAAAAACAAAAAGCGCTAAAGGAAGAACTAAACAGATCTTTCTCATATTGCAATCATCGATTCTGTTTCTTTCACATTAAGTACTGTACTAGTAAATATGTGAAATGACAAAGTCACTTTGAAGGTTGGCTTTCATACACATCAGTATTAAGTTTAGATTAAAAGTTGCCTCAAGGTGCATTTACTGTTAACATGACTCGATCAAACAGACAAGAGGAAAGAAGAGAAAAGATCGAACTGACAAAGAACTAATGAAGATGGTACAATGGTGGGCTCCCAAGATCCCTCTGGGATCTCTTGTATCAATTAAACTGCATTATCCCTTTGAAAATATTTTATATGGCGAAGGCAGTGATATTGAAAAATTTGTGGCAGATTAAGTTGAATACTGGTATTATTTATATATAAAGGTGTATTTCAATTTGATATTGAAAGTTTGAAACACCCTTTTTCATTCAGGTTTGTAAAATAAAATGAAAACCCAAAGCCTGTCATATTTAATGCAGTAGTGATACAGTTATGGGATCGCACAACGTTACACGATGTGCGGTGTACGCACGGTGTGTGCACGGTGTGTGAACGATGTGCGAACGATAAAAATGTGGGCGATCATATCCTACGCACATTTGTGTGCACGATACGATGGACGAACGTTGTGCGATAACAATATTGGTTGGTGTAAATTGAGGAATGCCTTAACAATATATACGGTTTCGTGTTTAAACATATAAACCTTGATTTTTACGTATGTTTCTATAATCTACCTACACCTATAAACTTATCTTTATATCTATACTTTCTTAAATTTAGAAACTGTGTTTTTGGTATTTTTTAAACGACCTTAATCGACACCTGTGAAATCAAAACACAGTCCCGTATACAGGTAAACATAGCCTCTAGCCGTCTACATGTACCTGGACGGTAGTTTTCCCCCGCCCGGGGCGCTTACGTATTACGTCGAGTAGGGTCAGGGGTGTGAAAACACGGGTGAAGGGGAGCTATATAGGCAAACCTAATGCAAATAACAAATACTAAATGTCCAGCTGTGTTTTCATTACTGTCATACGGTATCGCATATTAGCTCTATGTGTCAGGTACAGGCCAGGTCAAACCCCGGTAACTCATCAAATTGTTATTTACATATTCTGTTACCTTGGCGCAAAACCCATTCTTGACAGTCTAATGGTCACTGCAATGCTGTGTTACACGCATTGTAAAACTGTACAATCTTCATTACTGTGATGAGAAGTTACAATAATACATACAGTTTTCATTATTGCATACGAGCTTTCCGTATTTTTTTCATTCCGTAATATTGATCTACAAATTGTGCCCAATCGCACAGTTGTGCGGAGAGAAGCGCACAACGGGGCGAACGATAGTTAAATCGCACAGTTGTGCGCACCATGTGTGGACGATGTGCAGACGGTGTGTGAACGATGTGTGCACGCTACTTTTGGTGCGTTGTGCGGTCACACAACTGTACCCAATACATTTTTAGACTGTTTTAATAGAGAACAGCTTCACGTTTGTATTCTAAAACAAATGTAAATGTCATTAAACTAAATGTTTTGCAGTTGTGTGAGGTCCGATCCGTATGTAACCCGGTAAAAGGAGTAGGTTTTCGCAAGTACGCCAGATGACTGACCCAACACTGGAGTCGTTGCAGATACTGGAGCTTGTGCATCCAGTTACCGTGAAACCAGTTCACTCTTCTTCTGTAAAGAACTTTTTAACATAACAAAAGTGCATTGATGTTGAGGTCAGTAGGTCAAAGGTCAAGGTCGTGATTACCTAATACAGATTTTTGCAGGGCAGAGGACCTTAAGCACTGCTCATGTTTATATTTAGCTTCAAAAATAGTAATAGAAAACAGGGTGAAGAATGTGTTTAGATCATTTGAATATACTATTTTTTATCCTTCCAGGTTGTCAAGTCTCTACTGGATATCAAAGACCTGCAAAAACATATTCTTCGCTCCAAAAATCAGGAAAGAGCTAGACCCTCTATAGTTGATGATATGGTATGTGGTGATGTGCTAATAACTTGCGATTGGGCTATGAAGTTCCTTCCACGTAAATTTAGGGAAGCCAAGATGGACTGGTATGCTAAAAGTGGCATCAATTGGCATGTTTCTGTTTCGCTGATCAAAACAATGGATACATTCCAAACAACAACACACATCCATTTGTTTACTGGACAGACACCCCAAGACTCTGCATTTACAGTTGAAGTCTTATATGATGTTGTCAGGGATTTGAAGCAAACTCTTCCATGCCTAAAGAAAGTACACTTCTTTAGTGACAATGCTGGATGTTACAAGAGCTCATTAAGTCTTACAACATTGAAAGTAGAACTTGGGAATCAGCTAGCCTAGCCACCTACAATTTTTGTGAAGCTCAGAATGGGAAAGGTATTTATCATTTTTACGAACTGTAAACGATACAGGTTTAACTTCCAGTTAATCCACAGCAAAATTGTTATTTTTAGCTCTGATTATCTCTTATGTTTTATACTCTTTGATATTCAAAGACCCATCAAACAATTTCAAAATGCCTCTTTTGTAGTTCTCAAAATGTGTATCATATCTTAGATTCAACCCCTAGATGATCAATTTAAATCTGCAGATATTTTCACTTCTTTTTTTATATATGTGTATAAGTTTAAGAGGTTACCTCTTGTTATGGTTTGCTCCAATTGTAAAAAAAGAGACTAACATTAACAAACTACTGAAAGATTTCTAGATCTCTCTTATTTAAGCATTGAACTGCTTTCAGTTGGCATTCATAGGCAAAAAAAGAACAAAGCCAGAATACCTCCCCTGTGTGCAAGATGCATGCGTGTAGTGTATGTGTGTGTATTTTGGGAGGCTGCGATATGTTCGTGTTTGTCTCCTTGTGATAGCGCGGAACTGATGCCGACTTTATAGTGCTACCTCACTGAAACATACTGCCGAAGACACCCAGCAGGACGCCCAACCCGGTCACATTATACTGACAATTCTTACGCTCTACCTGCAGGGTCGAAGGTATGTCAACTTGAAAACATGCATTGTCCCTTTTGAAAAATGTCTTGTGAAAAACAAGAGCTACATGCTTGAGAGTTGTAACCAGTGGCTAGAACTGATCCCTAGATCTATCACTTACTCATTTTCTATATTAATATTGATAAATTGTCAAAAATAGACATTGAACCAATACGGAACTGACCGTGCATCTTTAACACATTCCTTATATGCCTTTTTTTTAGATGCTAAAAATCTAATGGTCTTCACGTGTTCAATTTGAAAATATTGTCCGTATATATATTATTAAACAGTATCTATTTCATTTGGAATACTAGTAACCAGGTTTAAATCAACAAATATTTTTCAGGTAAAATTATAAAATGGACAGACCTCAATCCCACGAGGAACCATGTACACCTGAAGAATGTTTCAAGTTGGACTGAAATTAATGATCTTCTTTATTCTAATGGTAATTTTGTTTTAACTCACACCTCAGAATATATTAGCTTTGTCTGTATTTTGTCACTTTTACTTTTAAAAAACCCACTAAACAGATTTATAATTCAGAGTTGTTTCTCAAATAAAAAATGTGTCAATTATGATTACTAATTGATAAGCATGTCCTCTTGTCCCCTGCCACAATATGATGCGGGACAAAGAAATGCAAGTGTCTTCCTTAACAAGTCAACATATCTCAATGGATTTAAAAAAAATATTATCATTGATTTACTGCCATCAACGATTATTATTATTTTTCAATTGGAGTTATGACCCTTTGAAATGCACATATATTTTCTGTTTCAAATCACACACAAACAAATTGATTTCAATTATATAACTGTACATTCTTTTCCATGCAGTCTTTAAATGTACGCCAAATAATTAACCATGAAGAAAGGATAAGAGCAAAGCTCAGTATTTTTGCCGAAACGATGGATGCATAAAAGAATTCAAAAACCAGAGGAGCATGGATCAGCATGTGCTGATAGGTAATTGTGAAATGCAATTAGAAAGATCAACATTAGATGACCGGGTTAAATCCTTATATGCTAGGAAGCTATCAGATGTTTGGACAACCTGTACTAACCTGGAAACAAAGCAGAGTACTAGTATTGAAAAAGATGAAGGTCAACTGTCAATGTCATTTAAGTTAAAGAAGGAAAAAAAGTTTTTCCTCAGCACAAAATAATTTCATGAATGAGAAATTTAACATCGGAAAACATGGAGGGTGTAAAGTGGACCCTTTTACTGCTGCTGAGGAAATGCAAAGTGATAAACAATTTCACAACGATTAATTTTTGACTGGTCAGCAGATAGCCAGTTTTTACTCGAGACTTGCACAGCAAAACAAAAGAATTGAACATCAAGACTTCAGGGCTGCACAAGAGGAAGAATCAAAATCTAAACTACAAACTGAAATATTGGAAGTAATTGGACAGTAGTTTGATGATGTAAACTATTGTATATTTCTTCATTTGTACCCCTTCTCTATTTTACAGGTCGTTATCAATAAAATAGCTGAAACAGTAAAACTGTAATATTTGTAAAATGAGCCCTTTGAGTATCTTGAAAATTGGATTTAGGTTCTAACCATGCTTTCAAAAAAGTGTTATACCTACAGTAAATATTCCTTTATTTATAAGTGGTCTCTACCACACTTAAGAGTAGCCCATTTGTTATATGCTAAACCAGGAAGTACATGTTAGTTACACTTTAAATTTTAAAAAAAAGGTACATGGACTTATTTTGATTTGTTGTGATTTTGATAAACTTCATAAAGTTCTTTTATTAGAATAAATCTGCAGAATGGTGTCCGTCTATTACTATGTTTAGGTAAGGTTTGGGGGAGGGGGGACAAAATTCAGTGGTAAGTGTATCCCATCCTTACATTGCCTAAACTCCTAAATATTCATTAATTATTAAAATAACATAAAATTTGCAGGATAATTGAATCTTGACCTCCTAATCATTTTAATCTGATCAGATCTTCAGTAACTGGCACAATTTGTGTCCATTAGTTATATTTATAGTTACAGTTGCGATGTTTTAAACTACTAAAAAGTACTTTATTGAGTGATTATTTTATTGTTATTATTCATTTCAATTTGTAAAAAGCTCTGTCACATTAAAAGCTTTTTTAGATTGGTTTGCTGTCAAATTTTATCCAATTCATGGATTATCTCCCTTTGACTGATGTAAATTTTGTTTTCCACACATGTGAAATCACTTACAGTTCCCATATTTTATTTTTTATTATTTGTTATAATAGTTTGTTTTATTATATGGTACTGAGAAAGATGAGTTGCAACCTCCGCTTTTCTGCAGAAAAATAATTTAAAAAACAGATATCAATATTTTCCAGGAATTTATAATTAACTGCTTGAAATTATGCGTACATAATGATGCATCTGATTCAATGTATGTAAGTCTGTCTCAATGTATACATGTATGTATGTACTGTCTGTCAATATATGTGGATGTATTTGTATGTGTATTATGTTTTTTGTGTATACTAGACATGCTATATGTTTATCCTTGTTTATAATATTATGTTGTATATGGAATTTGTTAGGGTGTGAAAGAAGTATGTTTTGTGTTCTTGTCCTGTACTCTTTTTGCAACTATTTTATTTTCCCATTGCCCTTCCTATCTATTTATTGTTTGACTGATGGATGTTGAATGAGAACCCTCCTGCGTGAGGACACCATATTGTTCAGGGGCTGACTCCAGGGCTCCCCAAACCTGGCATCCCCTATCAAAATATTTATATATGTATATATATATCTGCTTCGACATCAAAACTCACCTCTTCACTTCTGCATTTTAGAATCCTTGCAAGGACGTCATGTAAATACCACCCTTTTATTTGTTATGATATGGCGACATATTTTACCGAGATTTCCAAACATGATTTAATCCATATATTCATAATTTATGTTAATGAAAGAATGTGGTCAGTTATCTATAAATGCTATGTTTTAAGCACATTGAACAGTAAATATTGTTCTATACAGTTTATTTTAAATAGAAAGGGACACCATGTAACAAGCGTTACTTCATCAAATCAATCTGAAAAATTGCCGTCACATTTTCTTTTCACCAAATAGTTTATCTTTTGTTATGTATTGTGTAGTACAATGGTTACACTTTATTTCTAAAAGGATTCAGCTATGTTTCAAAGGCATATAAAGTTATATGCAAATGTCCCATTACAATTCACCAGTATTGTAGAATCACCCATATAATAGTATAAAGACCAAGAATGGCAGCTATTTGGGAAAGTAGATTCATAAATCATTGGAATCAATAATCAAATCTGGGGTGGGGTGGGTTAAATACTGCAAATACATATCAAATTGGTCAAAATTTATAATGTGATCAGTAATAACACAATTATGTTGATGCAATATAGGGGAATAAAATGAAATTGTTAATAATCAGGTTAAGTTAGTCTGGTTTTTGTTTATATACACCAGTAAAAACAGTAACAAATAGGTATGCATGAGGAAAGGAAGGGGTTGGTGTGTGGGGTTGATATTATACCTTGGATTCGTCTCAAGCCAGCTTCATTGTCTCTCTGGATATATTGGTCTCTGATTTTTGAACTACCTTTCAAAATAAAAAAAGTGATTTACTTGAATTTGAAAATCTAGCAACCATTGATACAGACCTAATTTTAGTTCTCAATTTTTTTCAATTAGTGATGTTTATTTAAAACTTGCAAAATTTGTTTTCATATAAACTACAGTTCAGTAAAGTTAATTTACTAAATTTGTCGTTATGTTATATGTATCACCTGAATTATTATATACTGAATATGTATATATGTAGAGATTTGTTAATTATACGGTAAAAATAGGTACACGATAGGGTGACCAAGAGAAGAAAGTAAAGAGGTAGGAAAGTTGTAAGTTGTTGTGTATTAGATATTGGATTTCTGGGCTTCAAAAGTTTAGAGCTGATATTCATGCGGACACGTGCCTTGAAGAGTCGGTCACTATAGTGTTGAACCGCCTTCTCGACATAGTCATTAAGTCTGATTGGTTTGGTTTTATCTTGTTTAACGTCCTATTAACAGCTAAGGTCATTTTAAGGACGGCCTCCCCTGTGTGCAAGATGCATGCGTGTAGTTTATGTGTGTGTATTTTTGGAGGCGATATGTTCGTGTTTCAGTTTGTCTCCTTGTGATAGCTTGGAACTGATGCCGACTTTATAGTGCTACCTCACTGATACATACTGCCAAAGACTCGTTATACTGACAAGGGGCGAACAAGACTTTGGTATGTCTCGGCCAGGGAACCCAAAGCCTTCCTCACAGGGGCGAACGCTCAACAAATGGCCAAAAGTGAGGCATTGTCAATGGAGACATTAGGAAGAACAAAGTTATTTAGAAGGAGAGAAGAGATAAGGTCCCAAATTTAGTCGCCTCTTACGATCATGCAATTGGGGCGATACCAAGAGATTCTGAAGGTCAATCATCATGACATGCAGCAGCTGCAGGAAGAATATGAGTGGCTGTTTCTCTAGTAGAATTTCAAATTACCCTATCAGTATTTGTAGCGCTACAGCTTTCTCATTGAAGGTCGCCATTTGTCATGCAACCGCGAGCGCCAACTTCCGTTCAGAATAGTAGATATCTTGTCCCGCAAGGTATCGAAAAAGGCGACTAATGCGAGACCCCCCCCTACAAAATTTGCTCAAGCGATCAAAATAAATCTGCTACACATCGATGACGATTTCTGGTATTTACATACACACATGCAGCGAGAAGAACTTGGTCAACGACAACAATAAGGAGAGATCGTGCTCCAAAATTGCGTTCTCATTTTAGTGTAAACCGAATATTGCAAGATATTTACCATATTGAAAAACTGATACAGTTTCTTCAATCATGCAAGACATATATATCAATTATAGCAATTATACTGTCAAAAGTTTGAAAATAAAATTAATTTACATGCATACTCGTATTTCACCATTGCATTGACTGCATTATGAAAAGTTGTTTTAACATGTAAAAACAATGTGCATGCAGCGAAAATGTTAAAGCATGCATAGGGTGCATGCAATTGACACAAATACATACAAAAGTACAGTAACATTACAGTAAGTTTACAATATATAGTATGAACAATAATTACAATATCTTTTTAAATCACAAAATTTGAAAGTTAATACATGCAAATCAGGGTAATAAAAATTGTACAAAGCTTAATCATTGGTTGGTTGATTGATGATTGATTCTTGATCGATTGATTGACCGATTGGTTCCATTATAACTAGTTTAAACAACTATTGAAATCATGACAATCTAACCTCTCCTGATTCCATTGCGTACCCTGGCAATTGACCAATCTTTAGAATCAAGTTGCTAGGAATTCATGTAGCACAACTCTTCATTCTCGAATCATACAAGAAGGTCCCAATCCCAAAGCCTTAACTTAATGTCTCTTGTTATCGAATTATTGAATCTACTTTGTACAATTAGGGTCCATAAACTAAAACAACAGCTGTAACTTCATTATTTAAGTTATTGAGGCACAATCACTAAATCACCTGTCGCATAGTCCTGTTGCAGTTGATATACATATATGGCAGGGTCATTGTCATACTTAACGTTGTACCGTTTAATAAAACTAGGTACAACAGAGAGTACACGTCCCATATACCATCTGTCATCAAACCGGTGTTTAATATGTTTT